AGAATTACATAAATGTGCATAAGACACTTAAATGTAATTTATTGGAATTAATTTGCATAAGAATTACCTATAAGTTGTTACAACTAATTGATAAAGTTATTAAGAGAAATTTAATTTTTATTTTTTTAATAAATAAATTAAAAAGCCAAAAATCAAAAAATTAGATGATACATAGCAGACTCTCATAACTTTGGTTTTGAGAAACCTTAAAATATTATATTAGATTGCTAAAGTTATTGAAATACACTTAATTTTTCTTTTGTTTTCAATAAGTAATTTAARAAGACAAATGTCAAAAARTTAGATGACACATDRCAGCYTCTCATGVCTTRAAATTTGAGAAACCTTACTATATTATATAAGAATTACCTATTAAATTGTTACAACTAATTGATAAAGTTATTAAGAAGATTTAATTTTTATTTTTTAATAAAAATAAATTAAAAATCCAAAATTCAAAAAATTAGATGACACATAGCAGCTTCTCATAATTTTGATTTTGAGAAACCTTAAAATATTATATTAGAAGTATCATTCAAACAATACACACCATAGAATATTTATTGTTCGTTTCCGTAGTCTATTTATCTTCTTTGAAATTATTTAAACCGGTATTTTTCATATAATTCCTATAATTAATTCACATTCTTTTCTCAAAATATTACCCATGTTTTCATACGATACCTTTTAGCATCAAAATTCTCATTAGTTTTCTTTTTGCTAAAATTCTCATTAACTTTTAAATCATCTGCAAGCGATCTTACCTATTTGACTCGCAATGATATTGCTTATGAGATCGCTTTATACATCTATCGATTCCAACGACAAAAATTGTTTATAGCAAGACACAATAATCAACTTTTAATTAAAGAGGGTTTTCTTTGGGGATTGAAATTCATTTGCAGAAGTTAAATCATATATATTTCAATTTCTCATAACAATGATGGTGATAATGATCTCCCTTGTTATTTAGACACGTTGATCAAGCTCAAGGTGATAACCACCACCATTTTTCCAATCTTCACTAAACATTTTTTTCATCAAAGTAGAATAAAAAAAAATATTAATTATTGTTGGAGACGGAAGAGATGCTGAGAACTCCAGCCCACACTTGCTTCCTAACCTTTGCTCTCCGCGGCTGATTCCCAAACGAGCCACCGCTTCCACCGCCGTTTCCACCACTGTTTCCACTGCCGCTTCCGCCGCTATTACCGCCGTCTCCACCGACAGTCGTTGTTGAAGTTTGGCCACTTGGATCGCTCATGTTTTGATTTTTGTTGTGTCTTCTTGGACTCGTGGGGGTGCTTTATAAAGTGTGAGTGCTCATACAAAAAAAAAATCTAGAGAGGGGATATATAAAAGTATTTTTTATTGGGGGTCATTTATTGAGATATCCATAAGATACCTTTTCTCTCTTCGAAAATCTGACACTGTCATTTTGTAAATAGTTAAATGTCTTTTGTGATAAATCATATTTTTTATAACTTAAAATATTAATTAAATAGTATATATGTTGTTATTTTTTACTTTTTTATTTTTTATGAAACAGAAAATAAAATTATCTATATATTAAGTTCTATCATGAATAAATCTAAATTATATATTGATATCATTTATGATTAATATAAAATATTAAATTAATATTATTTTACTAAATACAATAATATAGCATTTAAATACTGAGATTTGTATAACTAAAAATAACATTTTAACATATTTAACATTATTTTTCAATTGATATTACATAAAACTAATATAAAAAAAATTAAAATAATATTGTTATAGTTAGTAAAATGTTATAACAATTAATTAAAACTTAGATTTTTAAAATTAAAAATTATGTTTTGATATATTTCTTGTCAACATTTTAATAAAATCATATCCAATTATTCATTTTTTTCTTTTATATATAGGCATCATATTCCCTATGTTTATTATTTTACTCCATAAACCGTAATGGTTCAAATGGTATCTTTAAGATTTTATTACTTTTTTATGAATAAATATAATTATTAATATAATTGCATATATTTAAGATGTAATTTGATATATTTAAAAATATCAATGAAAAATTAACATAATTTTTTAATTTAAATAACATTAAAAATATTACTAGTTTATAAATGAGATACTTA